CCTGAAGGGACCCCTGCTGGTGCAACCAAGTCACACCATTCAACTTGCCGATTCCCCAGGAGGTACCAGTGGCTAGGGCAGTTTGCTGGGGAAGCAGAGCCGCAGTGGCTTCCATCACACTGGGGCAGAGAGGCCCTCCCTCCTCTGCGAGGTGTGAACTGGTAAAGCCTGCAACCCCAGAGTCCCCAAGTAAGCGCACTTCCAAGCATCCTGCCCGCATGGCTCTGCTGAGGGCAGCCATGGAGAAAGAAGGGCTTGATGTTCCCTCCTGATCCAGTAAGAGGGAGAAATTTTGCTTTCAATATTTTGCATATTGTAGTATAGTCATTACAAATATTCATTAGAAAATATATCAAGCCTTATAGTAGCAAATAAATAAGGAGGGTGCCAAGAGCTACCTCCAAAATATTTCTATTTTATTAAAACTGTAGGTTATGCACTTGTGAGGAGGCAGAGGGACTCACCCCTTTTCCTGGGGCCTTCCACAGAGCAGGGCCAAAGATAACAGGGCAAGGCGAGGAATCTATGTGGGGAGAGCAACTCACAAAAAGGCAACGGCCAGGGGATGCGAGCGAGTGCACAGCTGTACAGGATTGTGGACCAAGGCAAGAACAGCTGGGTTGGGTGGAGTGGTGCAGGAGGAGGGCGTATAAAGGAGGAGAGAGGGGGTGAGCAGGGGAGACGGAAGAGAGAAAGCCGAGACACCCATGTGGTTGGAGGAGAGTGGGCAAGGCGGTCGCTGGCAGGCGAGCCAGCACAAACGGAGAGCGGAGGCCGGGAGCGATCCAGCAGGGCGACCCGTTCGTTGCCACAGCGACAGGAGGGAAGGGAGCCAGAGCAGGCCAGGCCAAGGTGCTACGGGAAGCGAGCCGATGAAAGTGTGAAGAGGCAATAAAGACCCGGTGAGTGCACTGTCCTTCTGGTGTTGCTCTTCATGGAAAATCAAGGAAGAGGCAGCCTGAGCCGGCACCCCTCTCCTGACACAGTTGCAGTGGTGGAGAATGCGGGCAGGGCAGCATGGGGAGGCACAGGTCATCCCCCCACCCCACCCCAGCTGACTCCTGGATGGCCTGGTGGGCTGAGCAGCAAAGGCTCCAGGCCCAGGAGCAGCAACATCTGTTGCAGCAATTAGCAGCACAACAGACGCAGCTCATGGAGCAAGTTTTCACTGCCCGGCTCCAGAACTAAGGCTCTTTGCTTCAGCAAGTGCTGGGAGGACTACAAAGCACTCAAGCTGAGACCCTGGTGGGGCAGACAGGAGGAAAAGGCCTAGGGCCTATGCGGATCTCTAAAATGACCACAGAAGATGACCCTGAAGCCTTTCTAAATACCCTTGAAAGAGCTGCCCTGGCGGCCAAGTGGCCCAAAGACCAGTGGGCCCTCATCCTGACACCTTGCCTCACGGGTCCTGCCCAAGAAGCCTAACCCTTACCCTGGAAGCGGCAGGCCAATATGATTTAGTAAAAGCGGCCATTCTAGGTATGAGATTTAAAACTCCTTGAGACAGGACTGGAGCAGTTTATTCCATACAAAAAGTGTTTGCAAAGGCTGGCTCAATGTCTCAGTAGTCTGAGAAACAAAGAGCAATTATTTCAAACATCAATGAGATTGTATACATTCCTTTCCCCGATGCTCAACACTATCCCCGCTTCGCCACTGGCTGGTCACTAAGAAATCACAATCTTCCCCATCCGCCTATATCATGCTACTCCTTAATATGTTCCCCCCTCCCGCTCATACATCCCATGTTCATGCTAATGAGCCTTATTACCTATGAGAGGTGTGTCATTTACTATTCATAAGCCTGTTAAGCGTGTGCAGTACCTTCTAAGAGGTCAACAGGCCGGAGTGGCCTTGAAAATTCTTGACGCCAAAATGTTTCTTAAATCTTGTGGGGAGGATGAGATAATGAAAACAGGTCTTTCGCCAGGCTCTTTATCGCCAGTTGTAAAGTCTTTGTCTGCTCTCCTCCACTGAAGGTGACAGTTTTACCACTGTCCCCCAATTTTACCCCTTCTGGTATTTTTCGGAACTTTTTATATAAGAAACATTATTAGAACAACCATTTACATGTTTTGCTTCTCAGGCTTTTTTTTGCCTTAAGAGACTTCAATGATCCTGTCCTATTCCTGTTGTTCACCCTTAACACTTAGTAACAGTAACATTTAATTTCTCACATAGAGATTTTGAATGTCTCTGAAGAGACCTATTGGTGGTGGATAAGAGGGGTTGTATATGTGACTGGCACCTCGCCCAGGGCTGTGGGACAGAAGATTCGTGCCAATGGGCCGAGATGGATGCCCACAGTCCGCAGCGCTGAACAGGTGGCTGAGCTGGTCCTGCTGGAACAGTGTATAACCATCCTGCCCACCCCAGCCAGAAACTGGGTTAGGTGCCAGAGGCCTGAAACCCTAGAGGAAGCCATTGGTCTTATGGAAACCTTTGTGGTTGCTGAGGAGCCAGATATAGGCGACAGGCCGGGTCCACCCTGGCAGGAGGGTCAGAGACAGAGAGCACCTGGGGGCCGTGGCAACAGAGGCCCAGAGAGAACAAGAGCAGATGGACCAGTACCCACTGGAAGGGGTACGAGACATAAGGCGGTTGCCCAGCTGGAAGTGCCTGCACCAGGGGTGGGGGGGGCGGCTTCGCCACGACTTACAAATGGGAAAGGAAGAAGATCCCAGCTGAAGCAAGTGTGCCTTACTTGTGGCAAGGAGGGGCATTTCTGGAGGGACTGTCCGTTGATGGAGTATGACTTTGTGGAAGCCTGGTGGTCCGCCCCGGTGAGTGCCACCCTTCAGCAAGCTTGGCGGGTTCAGGCCAGGGTGGATGAGAAAAAGGTTGAGGCCTTGGTAGACACCGGCTGTGGTCACACCCTGGTTAGGCCAGCCCGGGGCAGCCCCTTGGAAGAAATACTGCAGGTGAAATGTATACATGGGGATGTCAAGCCTTATGCCACCCGATGGGCTAAGGTGGAGGTAAAAGGGAAGGTACACCTATGCAGGGTGGGGGTTGTCCCCAGTTTAGCTTATTAAGTGATAATTGGACGTGATTGGCCCCATTTTGAAGAGCTGGTGAGGGAGATGAGCTCGGAGGTTGCCTTGGCAGGGGAGGAGGAAGACGTAGGCCTTACAGCCCTGCGTACCTCCCGCACAAGTGGCTGGTCTTCCTCCAGCAAAATGCCGCCTCTCTTGTCCATGCCGAGAAAAGCCCAGGACCCCTCAGGAGCAAAAGAGAGTGCAAGGAGTGGTCGCCACTTTGAGATTGCGGGGGGATTGCTGTATAGGGTTGTACCTGCGCAGGAAGGACACAATGAACTGCGACAGTTGGCGATTCCTGAACCCCTGAGGCTAGTTGAAATTCTCATCCTATTCTTTAAAAATACAGGCTAAAGTGTTCTTGGATTTTAGTTTTTTCCCAATATAAAGGGTACAAGGGTATGTGCTCTTACCACCTGGCAGTAAACTCTGTTGAACACAATGATTTACTTTAGCATAAATATGAGTAAAATTGTTGTCTAAAGTTGCATAGTTACCAGGGAATAAGTGTCCGATCAGAACAGCCTGGGATTGCTCTCCCAGAATGTACACTATTTCAGCAGTTTCTAATTTATGCTGGTTTCTTTGTTGCAAGGGTTGGATGCTGATGTGAATTCAACAAGGAATTGGCTTACCTTTTGATTACAATACATTTCTAAGCTGCTGCTCCCTTTCCCCCATCCTGATTGCAACAGGTAGCTTGGAAAGTTCAAGACACTCATCATTGACGTAGTGGCAAATATGAAATTTCTGTTCAAATCTTTCCATCCTCAATGCGTGGTGGTGTATGAATATAGAAACACAGTCCTAGATTTTGATCTCTCCACAACAACTGTGGTAAGCTGGCCACACCTCTCACAACTGAAATGATGGTGAATCAGAAGAAGGCAGCCACCCTCATAGGCCTCAGAAAACAAAGGCCTCAACCTCAGCATGTTACAGATGTTTCCCTCAAGTCAAAACACCAAAGCTGGTTTACAGCAGAGATGAAGCATAGAAAATATCACGAGTCATTTGTTAAACCTCAGCACTTAATAGAATCATAGAATTATAGAATAGTAGGTTTGGAAGGGGCCAAGAAGGCCATCAAGTCCAACCCCCTACTGGTGCAGGACACCAATTTACATCCCATCCCGCTCAGGAGGCTTTTGAAATGTCTCCAATGTGGGACGGCCCCATACCTCTCCAGGCAGCCGGTTCCACTGTCACATTGCTCTGACAGTGAGCAAGTTCTTCCTAGTGCACTCTAAGCTTATTGCTCTGTGTCCTACAATCTGGGATGAGTAAGAACAAGTTTTTACTTCTTCTTCATGACCGCCTTTGAGATACCTACTGGATGCTATGTCCATAAGAGCTGCTGTTAGGCGGAAGGAAATGCATGCATGGGAAATGGGTGCCTTGTGTGGCCTTTTGGCTTCTGCCAACCCCACTGTGGAAGGAACAGCAGACACACAGTCGAGCACAGTAGCCCATGAAGCACTGGGGCCTATTGCTAAATGGTAAAGCCAACCACTGCAGTCCCTGAGAAGTTCCCCAGCATGGCCCCTGGGTAGTGGGCAGCTCAGCAAGAGTAGCACTTTCTGATGGAGGGCATCCTAAGATGGATCCTCTGCTACCTCCCTCATGCCTCATGGCAGCCACAGCCCCCTGCGTCACAGTAAGGGATTTTCATTTAGAAGGTCATTTGACTGTCAGCCACATGTCCCCCCCACCCCCACCCGCTTTCTGTGGTAAAGGATTTTTGCAGTGCAAATCACAGGACCCCATGCCTTTTTTCCCACTTTCCCCAATCATCTTCTCCACTATAAATGACTCGGATCACAGCCATGGACAGCAGCTTCTTCAGAACAATGACTCCAGCATGCATTTTCTAATTATCAAGCATACAAGGGAGAGCAACTGAACTTGTTAATGCCCAAGATCACTCATTTTGGATTTACTACTTCTTCATAACTTGAGAATAAAGAATTTCTTGAAACATATCTCCAGTTATAGTAAGGAACTAGGGAGATGAGTTTTGCTAAGGTCCGTTTGAATTCTACATTTGGCAAGGGAAACAGCACTTTGCTTCCTGTTGAAGATGTGGAGCTCTGTGATTTGTCAAGGAATGTTTTCCAGCAGTTCCCCTTTAAGTCCTCTTATGGCTTTACTGTGCTCTCCTTCCTCTTCCTCTGGATAGCGGTAGCTACAGTCATCTACCTCTTGGGCCAACTGTTCATGGGGCACTATGGATGGGATGGGTGGGGGGGGGGAGAGAGAGAGAGAGTCCATTATTGCATTCCCCCCAGGCAGATAGGCTGGAATCTGACTTCTGTTCCAAGACTATACCCTCTACAAGGCCACAAGAAAGCAGCAGCCACCTGCTACAGCTGCTAATGCATGTTTACCCACAAAATAGGGAAATCTACCCACCCAGGAAAGCGGGCAGCACAAATGTGACTGGCAGGGTCCACAAACCAGCTCCACAAACCTAAAGTGCAATGGGTTAGGACATCAGCGCAGCATGCCTGTTTGCCTTTCCAGCTGACCACATGCCTGGCTTCTCCAGCTTGCTTAATAGCGTAATCTGCAAGTTAGTAATCTACAAGGAAGTGTTCTGTCAATGTTTAAATCAAGAATACTATTTTTTTGCTTCAGGGAAACCTCCAAGGGGAAGCCTTTCCTGGGTACATGATGCCAGAGGCAAAGCAGAGAGAAAGGCTCTCTGCTGCTTTCATGCCTTCTGCTCCAGGTCATAGACTTCCTGGAGCATCCTGTTCACTATGGCTAAGGCGTACATGGCTAAGGCATACATCGGTGGGCCTACACGTTCTGATCCAGAAGGGGGCTGAGTTAAAACCTCCTTCCTATTAAGTGCTTAAGCCTGTCTCCCTCGCCAAACTTTGTATTCAGCATTAAGGTGGCCTTGGCATCAGCTAGAAAAATCAGGAAGGAGAACTTGCGATGGGAAAGAGGTAGCCCCCAAGGACTGCAGCCTGGAGGCAATTTGAGGTCTTGGAGGTCAGAGTACAACCCTTCCAGTTGAGGCTCAGAAAGAAGAGCCAATGGGACAGCAGCACAGGTGTTGGGCTAGAACCAGGGCAGTGGTGATTCTGAGCTCTGACAAAGTCTTCCACCAAGTTTGCTGGAGATCTGGAAGAAGAAGGCTGGCCTCTGCAGCCCACCATTCATTTTGCAAAATGAGCTTCTGTCTCTTGCACATATTTTGGAGCTACACCTTAACTATTTCCATAATCATGATTGTACAAAATAGGGAGGAGAGGAACAGGAGCTCTGCAGAATCTCAAAGTCCTCCCTCCTCCAGAAGCCTCCAAAAAATAAAAAAAGCCCTCTGCCTTCTAAGTGTATCTTTGCAGCCAAGAGTGCTAAATATTTGTCTTATGAAAATGTGAAAGCAGAGATTTCCAGGCCACCCTGTGGGATCAAGGCACTCATGCCGGGTGCTGCGGATGTGCTGGGGGTAACTCACCCCTTTCAAGTGAAAGGCACAGAAGCCCAAAATGGTGGAAACAGGTGGGGGGTAAGAAGGAGTAAAGGGTGTTGCTGGAAAGGCAGCCTTCTGGCCTTACATTTCAGGTGCTTTGCTTGGGCTCCGAATCTGATGAAGACGCAGGAAAGCAGTAGGGTGAGCACACAGAGGAGCAGGACCATTATTAGGGTGATGCTAATGGGGATCAGGTGGTTGTCTATCTCTGAAAACAAGCAGAAAACACCTGAAAACCAAGCAAAGAAGTGTCCCCAGACAAATGTGAGAGAAACGGGGTGGGGGGGGGGGGTAGGCTGGGCTCAGATGGAGAGATTCAGTACATATGCTGGGGTAGCTGGAAAAAAGATTTTGAATAGTTTGATCAGAAGGAATTCCAAAGCAGGCAGTCCTGATGGTGGCAAGCACCCTTTCACATGGCCATTTACGACATGGATGTTTCCAGTGACAAATGTCTGGGCATGTGGTGATCCTCCATCAAGCTTACAGAAGTGGTTTCAGAGCCACATCTGGCAAATTTCTAGCCCTTCATCTCTCCTAAAGACCAAGCAAATGCTCACCTGCAACGTTAGTGGGAGGTTGTGTGGGGCCTTTCCATTCAGGCTTGCAATTCACATCTTCCTCCTCTGCGGCCAGATTGTTAAGCATCCCCTCAGAGCAGCTTTGGCAACCTTTGAAAAATGCACAGGCCCATCAGAAATGTGTCAGGAAGTGAGCACCCCAAGGCAGCACCTGCACCCTCAAACCTATGCAGCATTCCAACCTCACCCACCAGCTCACCTAATTTATTCCTCTGTTTCTATGTGAATTTTGTTTTTGCATTTTAGGTAACTGTCTAGAAGCTGAAGTAGTTGCAGCAGGAAGTATTCCAAAAGGAGTAAAATGGTGGGAGTTGAGGAAGTGTTAAAAAGGTGCAGGGCACAAAGAACTGCCAGTTCAACAGTTAAAGAAGATTACACTGCTAAGGGGGAGAGACTGTCCTTCACTCCCTTTTGGAGTATCTTCTGTTGCCATTTTTCTCCCCTTTTATTGATGCATTTCCACTGACAGTGAGGTTCCTTGCCTTTGGCAAATGAGCTAATTTTTGCCTGTATGCAATTTATTCTTGTTTTCCCTCTGATAATTGAAAATGACAAAGAAAGCAATCAGACCAGCCTTTATGTATTGCACCTAACAAAAGCCTGACAAAAATTACAGACAGAAGAGGAAGAAGAGGGGGGAACAGGCCATGGTGAGCCTGATCAGTGGTCAGTGAACAGATAACCCAATGTAGTGTATTTGCAGAGTACGTGAGCATGCCGTGGGCAATTCCCATTGTGGGCAGTTAACATGTTAGGTCCTTAGGGATTAATGAGGATCCAAAGTTTACAAGCATTTTCAGAACAGTGGCTGAAGTTCGGCTCTATTATTGCAGATGCACGGGGGTTGAAGGCAGCACAACCAAGCTCTCTTCATCCATACCTGAAGCAAACACATTTACTTCATGCCTCTAGATAAACAGCTTTACTGCCATATATTTGGATTCCATGGGTGTATTTTGTATCATAGCAAGATGCCCCCCTTTGATTTGGTCCAGAGATATATTGTGGCAGGCTCTGGGGAGCCTAATAGCTGCTAGTGTATTTTACTGATTGCTTTTACAGCATTTATGTACAGCACCAGATTTTGGAGAGGTAAACAATCAAAAGACTAAAACAATATGCTGAAACTGAATACAGTTGGATGCTCATATCTGCTGGTTCAGTTACTGTGTTTTTACTTAACGGTGGTTGATCTTGGTCCAGAAGATAAGTTGTAAAGTGCCAAAGAGAAGTTGTAAAGTGACTTAAGTGAAAATGTAAGTGAAAATTCTTGATTTAATAGGGAAAGAAAAAAAAACATACACTGAGGTTGGTAAGAACAAATTTTCTATTGTTCTACTGTGAAAAAAGGGAATCGATATATAAAGTGTTCACTATTATCTGCAGTTCAGGCATCTGCTGAAGGGCAGTGGAACTGAGCCGTTTTACTGATATCAGGAATATCAGTAAAACAAAACAAACCCAGTGGCTGCTTAACTAAAGAGAACTTTCTGAAATAAATGTTTCCAGGAGATGTCAGAAACAAGCTAGTGTGGCACCTGTCTGAACTCCAGAGAATTTACAACAGAAAGGGAGCTGCCAAGTTGAAAGCCCAGGGGCACCTATCGCCTTCACCCCTCTTTCTAACGGCTGTTTAGCCTCCCTGGCCAAACTGTGTCCCTTAAGCTCAGGAGCCGTGAACCTGGCGGACACGACTGCCTGCAACAGCATGAGGGTGCTGAGGTCTGACCCAGCAGCCAGGACACGGGGTAGAAAATACCGCTCCGGCGGGGGAAGCGCACCTTTCCTTGTCTGCTTCTGCCAAGGGGCACACGGACACTTGCCACACTCCTCTGCCGCCTCTCCGCACGAGTACTCAGGGACGCATTTGCAAATGGCATCGGCAAATTCAGAGCAGTTCCGCACATATTCCCGTTGGTGTCCTTAAGAGCAGACGTTTTTTAGCGGTCCCGGTGATGTCCAAGGAGGGAGCGACCGTCCGTCCGTCCGCCCGTCCGTCCGTCCACCCAGGAACAGGTGGCGGGCACCGGCCGAACAGACACAACGCGCGGGCTTCGGAGCGCCTCTCCTGAGCGGCTGCCGCACAAACGCCGCCAGGGAAAGCAGCGCCCCTCCGCCAGCCTCGAGGCCAGGCGGGCGCCGTGTCCCCAGGAGGTCCCTCGCGGGCGCGCTCCCGCCGCCGGCGCCGCGCCCCGTCCCCCAGACGCACGGGGCAGTCTCCCGCCCGTCCCGGCGAGGGCCCGGCTGGGCGGCCTCGGCCAGCCCCCGGAACCCCCGGCCGCGGGCAGCGGGACGGCGAGGCGAGGCGGCGCCGCGGGAACGCACCGGCCCCGGCGCGCGGGCGCACTTACCGTCGCAGACTCGGCAGGGCGCGCAGTGGCTGGCGGTGGGCGCTTCGCGGTACGTGCCTGCGGGAGCGAGAGGCGCTTAGCGAGGCGCGCCGGTCCCCCTCCCGCGGCCGGCCCGTTCCCGGGCCGACCCAGAGCGAGCCCGCCCCGCTTACCCGGCTGGCACGGCCGCCCCTCCGCGCGCGCTCGGCCCAGCGCTCCCGGCAGCAGCAGCACCAGCGGCAGCAGCGGCGCGGCCCGGCAACCCATTGCGGCGCGGCGGGAACGCCGAGGCAGCTGCAGCGGCAGGGCCAGGCGCTCTTTCGCCGTCCCGGCGAGCTCGGATCTCTCGGCGCGGGGCGGGATCCTGCACGTGGCCTCGCAGCCCGCCCCGCCCGGGAAGCAGCATGCTGGCTCTCGGCGCCACCCCTTGGTGCCCCTCCAACTACCGACCGAGGCGCTAGAAGCCTGCTGGCTTGCCAAAGGATGCGCCCAGCGGATCACCCTGGGCAGAGCCGATGGGCCCCCCATGCCCAGGCACTGCGGAGCCCCCCCAGATTCCTCCCACCCGCCTGAGCTTGGCCCAGGACTAAAAGCGACAGGCAGAGCGCGGAGATCCATTGTAACTTCCCATTCCAGGGAAGGACGTCAGCGGGGATCAGTAGCACGAATGGCTGATAACCACAATGGAGTGGTCACTGACCTCGAGCCAGACATCCTGGAATGTGAAGTCAAATGGGCCTTAGGAAGTCTGAGCAACAACAAAGCTAGTGGAGGCGACAGTATTCCAGCTGAGCTATTCAAACTCTTAAAAGACAATACAGTAAGAGTGCTACACTCGATATGCCAGCGAATTTGGAAAACTCAGCAGTGGCCACAGGATTGGAATAGGTCAGTTTACATTCCGATCCCAAAGAAGGGCAATGCCAAAGAATGTTCAAACTACCGCATCATTGCACTCATTAAACACGGTGACAAAGTTATGTTCAAAATCCTACAAGCTAGGCTCCAGCAGTATGTGGACTGAGAACGACCAGAAGTACATGCAGGATTTTGAAGAGGCAGAGGAACTAGAGATCAAATTGCCAACATAGGCTGAATCATGAAGAAAGCTAGGGAGTTCCAGAAAAACATCTGCTTCATTGACTATGCTAAAGCCTTTGATTGTGTGGATCACAACAAATTGTGGCAAGTTCTTAAAGAGATGGGAGTACCAGACCATCTTATTTGTCTCTTGAGAAACCTTGTCAAGAAGCAACACCAATTGGTTCAAAATTGAGAAAGGAGTTCAGCAAGGCTGTATACTGTCGCCCTGCCTATTTACAGTAACTTATATGCAGAGTTATATAAGATCATGGCATCCGGTCCTCTACCTGGCAAATAGATGGGGAAGAAATAGAGGTAGTGACAGATTTCATTTTCCTGGGCTCCAAGATCACCGCAGGTGGGGACTGCAGCAAAGAAATTAAAAGATGCTTGCTCCTTGGGAAGAAAGCTATGACAAATCTAGACAGCATACGAAAAAGTAGAGACATTACCATGCCAACAAAAGTGCGTATAGTCAAGGCTGTGGTTTTCCCAGTTGCAACGTATGGCTGTGAAAGTTGGACCATAAGGAAGGCTGAGTGCCGAAGAGTTGAGGCCTTTGTATTGTAGTGCTGGAGGAGACTCCTGCGAGTCCCTTGGACTGCAAGGCGATCAAACCAGTCAGTCAGCCCTGACTGCTCTTTAGAAGGCCAGATCCTGAAGATGAAACTCAAATACTTTGGCCACCTAATAAGAAGGAAGGACTCCCTGGAGAAGAGCTTAATGCTGGGAACGAATGAGGGCAAAAGAAGAAGGGGACGGCAGAGAATGAGGTGGCTAGATGGAGTCACTGAAGCAGTCAGCATGAGCTTAAGTCAGGGGTCCCAAACGCGCGGCCCACGGGCCAATTGCCGGGCTGGCGGGGGAGGGGCCCTGCGGCCTTCAAAGCGCCGGCAGCGCCCGGGCCGGCCTCCGGATGAGCAGCCCACCACCACCGCTTGATGCGGCCTAGCCTCACCCAGACTCTACTTCCAGCGGCCCCCAGGTAAGTTGAGTTTGAGACCCCTGGCTTAAGTGGACTCCAGGGGATGGTGGAGGACAGGAAGGCCTGGAGAAATGTTGTCCATGGAGTCGCAATGGGTCAGACACGACTTCGCGACTAACAACAACATCCCGAAGTACACTCCCTAACATGATTTGACTGCTTCAGATGACCCTGTCATTTAAATTCAGTCAAACCTTTGTATAGTGTGCATATGTATGTTCAGCTGAGGTTGACTGGGAGTTGCATTTTTTTTCAGTCTGAACATGCAGATTGTACCTTTAAAAGACCTACTAAGTGAGCCTGAGGGCTTGATATTTCTGTCATCTCATGAGAAATAACAATTACAAATAATTTCAACAAAGAAAAAGGGGGGAAGTAAACAAAAAAAGCCCACGTGGCTTCACCAAATGCCTAGAGAGGATCTGGAAAGAAAACATAGCAAGTGGAAGGAAGACCTGGTGCAAAGGAAGAAAGCAGGCAGGCAGCATGGAATTGCAAGGATGGCATCAGGAAGGCTAATGCTAGGACTGAACTGAGGCTAGCAAGGGATGCCAAAAACAACAAAAAAGCCTTCAGATATGTCCAAAGGAAAAGATAGAAAAGAAAGAAATGGTGGTTCAACAACTTAGTGTGAATGGCAAAATACTAGTGCCAGATGACTGGAGAACGGCTAATGTAGTCAAGAACTACAGATCAGTCAGTCTGACATCAATCCCTGGAAAAATTATGGAACAGATTATAAAATAGTCATTCTGGAAATACGCTGAAAACAATGCAGTGATTAGTAGAAGCCAATATGGATTTCTTAGGAAGAAGTCCTGCCAAACTAATCTCATTTTTTGATTGAGTAACCTCCCTGATGGATATAATCTTATCTTGACTTCAGCAAAGTTTTTGGCAGACTGCCCCATGATATCCTGATTAGCAGACTGGCTAAAAGTGGGCTAGATGGAACAATTATCAGGTGAATCCGCTGTTGGCTACAGCATTAGATTCAAAAACTGCTCCTCAGTGGCACCTTCTCAATCTGGGGACAGTGGGGTTCAGTCCCGGGGCCAGTGTTTATTAATAGAATGAGGATGAGGAAGTGCAGGGAATGATGATCAGATTTGTAGATGACACAGAATTCGGTAGGACAGAGAGAAAGAAGATGCAAGGTGATCTTGATAGGTTGGAGTGCTGGGCTGAAAAGAACAGAATGAATTTGTCAGGGACTTCAAGAAGAACAGTCGCGGGGAGGAACGCTCGGATCCACAGGAAGACACCTTCGCCTCCAACCGCCGCCGTTTTATCGGTGAGAACACCCAGGCGGACCTCTATGCGGAGCACGAAGCTGCAGCCCAAAGGCCAGGACGCGTCCTCGGATCGCCGGCGCGGCGAGGCGCGGCCTGCGCGGGGCACACGGGGAAGCTCCCTTGCCCCCCCCCGCTCCCCTCGGGAGTCGGCGCCCCCCCTGGCAGGGCCCCTCCGGCTCGCTCCGCGGCAGCGAGGTGCCCCCACCGCCTCGGCGGCCGGGGCGGGCCGCGGCCGACGCACGGGAGGCGGCGCTGCTGGAGGCGACTCCGCCCTCACCCGGCGCGTCTCGGGAGCGGCGGGCGCGTGAGCGAGCGGGACGCCCTGCGCCGTGCGGCGTGAGTCGCAGCCTGGTCCTGCAAGTATTGCTCCTGCTCGGCGCCGGCGCCCGGCTCAGCCGCGGGACCCATGCTGGGGCAGCTGCACGGGGCGGGGTTCGGGAGGGCAGAGCGGATCGCTCGCTCGGGAGGCCGGCCCGTTTCCGGCCGAGCTGGGGCCTTGCCCTCGGGCCCGCGGCCGCCGTCCGGGGCCGTGCCGGGGCTCCGCGTTGCTCCGTCAGAGTGGTTCCGGGGCCCATCCAGCGACCGGTTCGCCGGAGAAGCTCCTCGCCTGTGGCAGCGGCGAGCTTCGAGGCCGACCGGCGCCCCGGGCGAGGCCTGCTTCGGCCCTGTGTCCCCGGGGCCCCAGCCCGCGGGCCTCGTCTGGCCAGGAGCAGGCAAGGCTGCCGGCGCGAGCGTTGCCAGGTGGCCTGGGGCCAGGAGGAGCGGCCTCGCCCGGCTTCCATTCGGCCGCCAGCGCACCTGCTCGCGTCGTTTCGCCTTTTTCATGCGCTTACTGCTCATGTTGCTTGCTTCAGATTCGCTTTCTGCTGCTTTTCAGATGGCGAGCATTCAAGTCTCCTGCAGGGGTCCTTTTTCACAGTTATGGTACAAATCTGATGAGCCAGCAAAGCTCCCCTTGTAACTGGGAATTCGTGTTAGGGCAAAGAATGCAGCATACAGATGCATCCCTAGCACAGTCCCCTTCCCGAAAGAAAACTGTTGCCTGTGTTATGGGAGCATACATTTTTTGCTGTATGCCTACGAGGGAGAATGTTTATATAAGTCAATACATTTCTGAATTTATTCCCTAGCTGTAAAATATGTAAACGTTTTGTGTCTTGCAATTTTTCAAACATTGAACCCCTGGAAAAATCATTGTGTTAATTAAACAAGGAATAAGATGCATGGACTTTAAAGGTGCCTTCCTATATAAATTAATTCTAAACTTTAATAAGCACTATATAACAGTTGCTTTATTTACATGTTAGATTTATATCCCCTCTTTTTTAAAGATCTTAAAGCAGCTTACACCCTCCCCCCACCCCCATTTCCACTTTTATCCCCACAACAACAGCCTTGTAACAGAGGTTGGAGTGAGATTCTGTGACTGGCCCAAAGTCACCCCGTTGGTTCCATGGCTGAGTGGGGACCAGAACCCAGATTGAGTCCTAAACACCCATTCTTAAGGCATATGATTTTCAGTATTGTTCTGTTGTACAGCAAGGTATACTGTTCCTACCCCAAAGAGTCTTGTTTGGCTATCATAAAGCCAGTAGAAAGCCAGCTGTTTCCCCTGTGGACTTCATTTCTGGCAGGACGTTGGCGCTTGGACCATTCAATAGTTCGGGCTTTCTTGCATGACAAAAATGAACACTTGATGTTTTCCCTAGAAGGATCAGTTTCTGTCATAGGAAAATTGTATTTTTTCAGCATTCAGAAACAGGTATCTTTTGCTATGAAAATGGTACTTCCTCCCCCATCAGCTCTAAAATTCCCAGGATAACCATGGCTAACCACAAAGGCTATTTCTGATCTGTTTACTGCTCCCCTGTAGAGATGTGGGGAAATGAAAGAGCCAGGATCAGGTATGCACATGCAGGAGGCACCAAGTTCATGGTTCATATTGATGTTGTGAGCCGCCCCGAGGCTTATTGCGATGGGGCGGCGGAGAAATGTTTTAAATAAAATCATAATAAATAATAATAAGTTCATCACTTTCCAAGTAGGGAAAAGGCTCAGGCAGGAGTTCTTTGGAAGTGTGCTTACAGGGGCCATGTGTTTGCCCACTGCTGTACAGATGGGGCCTGACATAACTACTGAAATGGCTGTCGGACTTTGCCTCCCACTAGCTGCTTGCTTCTGCTTCAGGGCGCCAGTTCCACATTGCATCCCAGTTTTCCTTGTGGCCTGCTGTGTGTCCTTCAGCCTGAGCAAGCTATCATCATGTAGCATGAGACAGATGGGCATTGTCCTGGGACAATTTGCTTGTTGCTTGTCATACGTTCAGAGGGTGGTATTTTAGCAGTTTCTCTGAGGAAGGAAACCACCAACACCTGAGTCTCCCTTTTAAGAATGGCTATTTGAACGAACACTGTGACTGTTCAAATACTGTGGCTTGACTTAAAATTCTCTCTCTCTTTTTTGCTATAGGACAAGACACCTAGCCTGCATTTCCTTTCAAAGTGAGCTAAGCACCAGTTCTCAAAATGGCTTCTAAAAGAGCCCTGGTAATTTTAGCTAAAGGGGCTGAGGAGATGGAAACAGTAATCCCCACGGATCTCATGAGGAGGGCAGGAGTGAGTATTCAGACTAAAAGCGCTAAAATACCTCCCTATTTTCTGTTCCTTTTACGAAGACAGTGATGGGGTTACATGATATGCTAAGATACTCTGGCTTTGAAGCTTAGCTTAGCATGTTGTCTAAACCTTGTCTGCTTCCAGCATCATGGCTTTGGAATGGCTACCAAGCCTTCCCAAAAAGCCACAGTTTATTTTAAGATTTACTAGACCCTTCATGCCTTGGCATGTCATCTGAACCTGCATGAGAAACTAAGCCAGTGTCAAGCCAAAAAGCTTCAGCATTGCTTGGCCAGAGCAGCAAACAGCCTTGCCGCCTTCACTCAGGAGCTCCAGGTGAGTGCTGAGGATGGCCCCTAGCAGCACTATGGGAACCTGTCATCTGTGCAACACCTCTGCAAACCCTGCTTGGGTGGGGGTGCTGATGTCACTGGCTCACATGCCCCTTTGCTTGCTACCCCAGCTAATGAGGACCACTGTGGGTATTGCAGAGGGCATATGGCTGCAGTTGAGGGCAGGCAGGACATGTGTGGAGGGTGGGTGTTTCCATTTGTTCTTTATGTGCTGAGCATTGCAAGGAGAAGGGTTATATCAGAAATTTTATTTATCCCATATTTCTAAAAATAACCTTTCAGTAATAACAGCAACGAATACTATAATACAGATTAAAAGCAAAATCTGAATTAAAACATTAAAGCAAATACATTAAAAATGTAAGTCTAAAGGAGGTAGCACAGAAGCTGTTAACTCTGGAACAGCTTATATAGAATCATAAAATAGTAGAGTTGGAAGGGACCAAGAGGGCCATCTCAGTGTAGGACTCCAAGTTAAATCATCCTCTCAAAAGGCAGTCCAGCTGCAACTTGAATGCCTCTAGTTTTGGAGAGTCTACAGCCTCCCTAGGTCATTGGTTCCCTCCTTGAAGGAGGTTAGGAGAGTGAACACCCAGAGGGAGGGCCTTCTCTGCAGTGGCACCCTGGCTGTGGAATGCACTTCCCAGAGAGGTTCGCCTGGCTTTTCGGTGCCAGGTTAAAACCTTTTTATACACCCAGTATTTTAAAGTTTTAAAAATTTTAATTCAGTTTTTATTTATCCTCAGTCACATTTTATCTTGCTAATGTATTTATTAGATATTTGCTACTTTGTAAGCTGTCCAGAGATGTTTTGTATTGGATGGGTTAGAAATATCCTAATACATAAATAAAATAAATATTGTTGTACTGCTCTAACAGTTAGGAATTTTTTCCTGATATCTAGCTGGAATCTGTCTTCCTGTAACTTGAGCCCATTATTCCATGTGCTTCACTCTGGGATGATTGAGAAGAGATCCTCTTTGTGATGGCCTTTCAAGTACTTATAGAGTGCTACCACTCAGTCTTCTAATCTCAAGGCTAAACGTGCCAGTTCTTCCAATTACTCCTCCTAGGGCTTTGTTTCCAGTCCATGGACCACCCTTGTTGCCCTCTGAACCCTTTTCATCTTGTCTGTTTCTTTCTTAAACTGTGTTGACCAGAACAGGGGACAGTACTCCAGATGAGGCTGAGTAAAGGGAAGCTGGTGCTTCACATGATTTGGAAGTGATACTTCTATTAATGCAGCCCTTAAAATAGTACTTGACTTTTTTGTAGCCACATCACATTGTTGACTCCTATGAGATCTTCCTGTAGATCCTTCAGCTTGTGATCTACAACAATTCCAAGATTCTTCCTGCTTGCAGTCTTGTTGAGCCAAGTATTCCCCATCTTGTAATGATGCATTTAGTTTCTCTTTCCTAGGTGGAGTACTTGGCATTTGTCTCTATTGAATTTCATTCTATTCTTTTCAGCACAGCACTCCAACCTATCAAGATCACCTTGAATCTTCTTTCTCCCTTCCAGAGTATTAGCTATCCCACCCAATTCTATGTCGTTGGCAAATTTGAAAATCATTCCCTGCACTTCCTCATCCAAGCTATTAATAAAAATGTTGGAGAGCACTAGGCCTAGGACTGATCCCTGCAATACCCCACTTGTCACCTCTCCCCAGTTTAAGAAGGTGCCACCGATGAGCAGTCTTTGAGTCCAGTGCTGTAGCCAACTGTGGAGCCACCTGATCATGTCCACTTTTAGCCAGTTTTTTCATCAGGATATCATGGGGCAGTTTGCTGAAGTCAAGATAGATAATATCCACAGCATCCCCACAGTCCATGTTACCCAATCAAAAAATGAAATCAGATTAGTCTCGAAGGACTTTTTCCTGAGAAATTCATGTCGGCATCTAGTATCACTGCATTGTTTTCAACGTGTTTGCAGACTGACTGTTTCATAATCTGCTCCATAATTTACCCAGGGATTGTTGTCAGACTGACTGGTCTGTAGTTTCCAGGTTCTTCTTTTCCTTTCTTGAAGATACATTAGCCCTTCTCCAGTCATCTGGCACTTCCCATTTCCATGAGTTCTCAAAAGTAATAGTTGTTCTGAGAGCTTTTCTGGCAGCCCCTTTATGACTTTAGGATGAAGTTCATCGGGCCCTGGAGATGAACTTGTTCAACCCAATTAGATGATCCTTGACCATTCGCCTGTTGATCCTGAGCTGCCATCCTGGTCTTTCAGCTTGTCCTTCTCCTTCGTCAGAAAGGTCAGAAAGTTTGTACAAGGAGAGATAATCAAATTTGCAGATGATACAAAACTGAGTGGATTAGCGAACACCCTAAAAGACAGAATGAAGATCCAGGGCAATCTTGAGAAACTTGAACACTGGCCTGAAAGCAACAGCATGAGATTCAATAAGGACAAGTGCCAAGTCCTCCACCTAGGAAAAAAACCAAATGCTGTGATACAAGATGGGGAATACATGACTCAACAGAACTGAAAAAGAAAAAGATCTTGGAATAATGGTGAACAATCAACTAAATATGAGCCAACAATGTGATGCAGCCACCGGAAAGGGCAAATGCTGTCTGGACATACAGTATCTGAAGAAGGCTTTTTTTTCTCGTTCCCAGCATTAGCCTTCCTGATGCCATCCATGCAATTCCATGCTGTCTGCCTGTATTCTTTCTTTGTAGCCTGGCCGTCCCTCTACTTCCTGTATGTGTCCTTTTTTGTTTTCGGATCTAGGCTTTTTGTGAAGGCACGTGGGCTGCTTCTGTGGTCTTGTGCCCCTTTTCCTTGTTGGAATTGTTTTTATTGTGCCCTTAGACATTCATTTTTTCAGAATTCTCACCCATATTGGACTTCTTTTCTCATTAGAGTTGCTTGTCATGGAATTTTACTTAACATTCTGAATTAATTAAAATCGGCTTTGCTAAAATCCAGAGTATGTGTTTGGCTAGACTTGGCTTTTGCTTCCTTTAGAATCAAGAATTCAAGAATGGCATGTTCAATTTCCTCCAGAATTCCTATAACTGGAGGAAATTCAAAAAGGAATTCCTATTCCTTTTTGTCTGCTAGGTCTTGCCTGTATGCTGATCAATCAGGTTAAGTATAGCCACTCCTCCAGTTTCTTCCTCCACTTTCTTTTGGAGAAAGTTGTCAGCATCACATGTTGGGAAGTCCTTGGAGGGGTTCTTTTGGCAAAATGTCCTTTTTAGGTACAACATCACTCCTCCTTGAAACACTGACAGTTTGTTTTTCAAGAGTTTCATCCTCCTCTTCTCTTTGACTGAGTAGTCAGTAATAGATTCCAACCACTGCATTCTTTTTATTCCTTGCTGCATTTAGATTAATCCAAATGCTTTGATGGAGTTACTAAGCTCATCATCCTGAATTTCTGTGCAGAGGCGCCATCTCCCTTTTTGTACCTTCTGTTTTTCCTAAATAGATTTTATCCTTCGATTGCTGAATTCCAGTAATGGGAGTCATCCCATAAAGTTTATATCTATCAGGTCATATTCCCTCTCCTGTATTAAGAGTTCTTGCAGTTTATTTCCTATACCTCAGGCATCAGAACAAGTGCTTTATACTCCATCTTTCTTCCTATATCTTTTAGAAAACCTTATTGGGCATGGTTAGAGCTGCTCTCCCGGGTGCGGTGCATAAGCCTTGCTCTGTTATTACGCCCAGGGATGCTTCTCCCTCTCCTGCGGGGTGCAGCTTAAAACCCTCCAGACACATTTCTTAGTGCTGTGACCAAACACCTTCTTTCCAGTCCTTGTAAGGTGCAACCCATTCCTTGCCAGCAGTCCATCTTCTAGGAAGTGTAGCCCATGGTCCGAGAATCCAGATCTTTCATGTTGGCACCATCTTAGCCAGGCATTTACCTGGAGTATTTTTCCCCTGTCTGTTCCTCTTCCAAGAACTGGAAGAACTGAAGGGAAACATAGAAACAGAAACAGAGTGAGTCAGAAGAGGTCTCCCAGGCCATCTAGTCTGACCTCTGGCACCAGCTGGCTCCGCTCACGACATGCCCACCATGTGCACGTCCAGCCTATCTTTGAATACCCTCACTGATGGGGCCTCAACAAACCCATTTCTCAACAAGAGAACTATCTGGGCCCCAAAATTCTTGACTTTCCTGCCTAAAGTCTGATATGATTTCTTCAAAGCCCTGCTTGGTAGTGTTATTTGTTCCCACATGTACAAGATGGAAGGGATATTGGCAGTGGGCTGTATGAATGTTGGTAGTCTTTCAGTTATATAGCTAATCTGTCTCCTAGGAAGACCGCATACCTGATGAGTCCATGGATCTTCCCGAAATACCTTTGTTTCCATTCTATGCAACCTAGGGAGCCTAACTTCAGTAGGGAGTTCCAAAGAGCAACCACCTAGAAAGACCTGTCTTGTATCCCCACTAAATGTACATCTGATGGCAACTGGCCTCCCTTCAAGATCGTCAATCCTGAGTAGAGGCTTGTAGGCAAAACAAAGAAAGACACAATGGTTTTATATGACAGTGTGGTGGAACAGTCAGCCATTTCTTCATTCGTGCTGTTTCCCATGAGCTTAAGAGCAGTCTGCAACAGCTTTCCTCAATGTTAATACTTACTAAAAGTGTTACTACAATGCTAATACTTGTCCCAATTTAAGACAAACTTGAGGGTTAAAATAAGTCAAATAGAGATGTCATTGAAAGTATTTTTTTTAAATGAACCTCATGGTGTGCCATGAATAGACAAAGGTCACCCAAGGAAGCATTTCATAGAATAGTGGAATTGAAAGGGGCCATGAAGGCCATCAGATCCAACCCACTGCTGTTGCAGGATACAGGTTACACCTTCCCACTCAGATGGCTGTCTAGTTTCTTTTTGAATGTCTCTAGTGAAGGGGAGCCTACCACCTCCCTAGGCAGCTGGTTCCACTGCCGTATTGCTCTGACAGTGAGGAAGCTTTTCCTGATGTCCAGCCTGAATCTGGGTTGTCACAGAATTGATTATTCCGTGCCCTACACTCTGGCATCAGCAAGAAGAGATCTTGACCTTCCTCTTTGTGACAGCCTTTGAGGTACTTACAGAGGGATATCATGCCCCCCCTCCGTCTTCTCTTCTGAAGGCTGAACATGCCCAGTTCTCTCAGTCTCTCCTCACAGGGCAGTGTTTCCAAACCCTGGATCATTTTTGTTGCCCTCCACTGGACCCTTTCTAATTTACCTGCATCTTTGTTAAACCTTGGTGCCCAGAACTGGACACAATATTCCATTTCTTCCACACCTGTTGTTAAAGATGTACTGAAAGGTGTTCACCACTTGGGATTGGGCATGTGGAGAGTGGGCTTTACTTCCAGGATGATGGTGTTAGTGAAACCTTTATATTAACACATGATCTGTAGTTTGTGCTGACTAGTTTGGCCAGCTGGAGGGTAGATGGCTGCTCATCTCCATGCATTCTCTTTTCTCATCAGATTGCTGTGACAGTTGCAGGCCTGACTGGAAAAGATCCTATACAGTGTAGCCGTGACGTCGTTATTTGTCCTGACACGAGTTTGGAAGAGGCTCGAAAGGAGGTTGGTCCCACTGAACATTCTGTGCCTCTTTTTTGTTTTGCAGCAGGTTGCTGATTGAGTCTGTCTCAGTAATTGGCGATCTGCCTCACTAGCCATTTTTCATGCCACTTTGGGGTTTTATTTTTGAGAGGGAAGGTTTGTGGCACAGCACTGGATAGTTGTTTGAAGCCTCAGGAGGATTTCAAGGAAGTTTTCTGCTGTTCACTTTGCAGATTGTTCTTTTGTCTCAGGTACGCTCAGGGAAATAACTTCTCTCTTTGTCTGTCCCTCTTGGACTTTATTCCACAGCCAGTCACCTTTTCTATCTATTTTTAGGGGCCCTATGATGTGGTGGTCTTGCCTGGAGGGAACCTGGGAGCTCAAAACTTGTCAGAGGTAAAAACCTGGGAAAATGCTGGACTCCATCTCCTCTGTGTATCTGTGTGCTTTCTTTTTGAATGTGAATATAAAGGAGCAGTTTTTCCAAAGCTTTATAAACACTGTAACTGGTTAAGTGGAATTTGGCACCTCAAGATAATGATGTTAGCCATCTATGCTCAGAAGAGCCAGTGAGCTACAGTGGTTAAGAGTGCAGGACTGGGACTCCAGAGTTGTGGGTTCTAGTCCCCACTTAGCCATGGAACTCACTGGGTGACTTTGGGCCAGTAGCAGACTCTCAGTCTGACTTACTTCACAGGATAGTTGTTTTGAGGATAATATTGAGAATTACAGTATATCACAGAAATGAGTACACCCCTCACATTTTGTAAATATTTTATCATTTCATGTGACAACCCTGAAGAAATGACACTTTGCTACAATGTAAAGTAGTGAGTATACAGCTTGTATAACATTGTAAAATTGCTGTCCCCTCAAAATAACACACAGCCATCAATGTCTAAACCGCTGGCAACAAAAGTGAGTACACCCCTAAGTGAAACTGTCCAAATTGGGCCCAAAGTGTCAATATTTTGTGTGGCCACCATTACTTTCCAGCACTGCCTGAACCCTCTTGGGCATGGAGTTCACCAGAGCTTCGCAGGTTGCCACTGGAGTCCTCCTCCTCTCCTCCATGATGACATCACGGAGCTGGTGGATGTTAGAGACCTTGCGCTCCTTCACCTTCCATTTCAGGATGCCCCACAGACACTCGATAGGGTTTAGGTCTGGAGACATGCTTGGCCAGTCCATCACCTTTACCCACAGCTTCTTTAACAAGGCAGTGGTTGTCTTGGAGGTGTGCTTGGGGTCATTATCATGTTGGAATACTGCCCTGTGGCCCAGTCTCCAAAGGGAGGGGATCGTGCTCTGCTTCAGTATGTCACAGTACATGTTGGCATTCATGGTTCCCTCCATGAACTGTAGCTCCCCAGTGCCGGCAGCACTCATGCAGCCCCAGACCATGACACTCCTACCACCATGCTTGGCTGTAGGCAAGACACGCTTGTCTTTGTACTCCTCGCCTGGTTGTCGCCACACGCACTTGACACCATCTGAACCAAATAAGTTTATCTTGGTCTCATCAGACCAAAGGACATGGTTCCACTAATCCACATCCTTAGTCTGCTTGTCTTCAGCAAACTGTTTGCGGGCTTTCTTGTGCATCATCTTTAGACAGGCTGACCCACCACCCCTTCAACCTCTGCAGCAATGCTGGCAGCACTCATACGTCTATTTCCCAAAGCCAGCCTCTGGATATGATGCTGAGCACGTGCACTCAGCATCTTTGGTCAACCATGGCGAGGCCTGTTCTGAGTGGAACCTGTCCTGTTAAACCGCTGTATGGTTTTGGCCACCATGCTGCAGCTCAGTTTCAGGGTCTTGGCAATCTTCTTATAGCCTAGGCCATCATTGTGTAGAGCAGCAATTCTTTTTTTCAGATGCTCAGAGAGTTCTTTGCCATGAGGTGCCATGTTGAACTTCCAGTGACCAGTATGAGAGAGTGAGAGCGAGAAAACCAAGTTTAACACACCTCCCCATTCACACCTGAGACCTTGTAACACTAACAAGTCACATGACACTGGGGAGGGAAAATGGCTAATAATGCCCAGTTTGGACAGTTTCACTTAAGGGTTTACTCACTTTTATTGCCAGTGGTTTAGACATTTAATGGCTGTGTGTTGAGTTATTTTGAGAGGACAGCAAATTTACAATGTTATACAAACTGTATACTCACTACTTTACATTGTAGCAAAGTGTCATTTATTCAGGGTTGTCACATGAAAAGATAAAATATTTACAAAATGTGAGGGGTGTACTCACTTCTGTGATATACTGTAAGCCACCATAAGTTCTTTGAAAGAAAAGGACAGGTTATACGCTTCTTCCCGTAAGAGCTCCATGCAGTCTCTGTGCTCAGAGGTGGTTGTAATACCCATAGATCCCAGATGCTGTGGACAGATGACAGAGGAAGGAAGAAGCACCTTCTTCCTTGCTGCTTGCTGCTTGCGAAGAATCTCTCTGGCTGCTGGAGTGGCCAGTGCACCCAGCCTGCCACTGCAAGGTGCTTCTGTGTCCTTTCCTACCATGGGCCTGGTCAGGCCTTCTGAGGCATCCTCCCTTATGCAAAGGCATCTGCTACCAGTGGCCTCACTTGGGGCTTGCAGTTCCACAGATTCTCCCCTCCCCACCACGTCATCGGCAGCATTTTTCACCCTCAGTCGTCGTGCTTTACATTGGCTCATTCCACCACCTCTTCCTCTTTCTAGAGGGCTCTTGAATTCTGGGCAAACAAATGACCTCTTCCTAACTGACTGATTCATTTTAAACGTTTATATACTAACTGTGCAGGCCATGCAGACTTCTCGAGGTGACTTGCACACTAAAATCATGAAACAGAATAAACAAAAAACTAAAGCAAAGCCTGTCTCTTCCTTGACAGCACTTGTCTCTACCCACCTGCTGCTTCCTCCTCGCTTCTGCGGGGTTTGGGATAATACAGAACCAGCAATGCTACATCAGACCAGCCACACTCAATTGCTTTAGAAATGCTTTGTGTTTGCTTCTGAGAAAGGTCATGTGGGGAGATTGTTTACTCCTGTAATACATTTCTTTTACCAAGAACAGTATTTCCTGTGTGCTTTTCTTTTAAGAACTAACTGTATTGTGAGATAACCATTAGAAATGCATAGTGGAGTCCTTTTTTGATCAAATAATTTTTATTGCAGTCCCCACTTGTGAAGGATGTCTTGAAGGACCAAGATGGCAGGAAAGGACTGATAGCTGCAATATGCGCAGGTGTGTTCTTGCGATCCACCAAGATTTGCAGGAAACCAGCTTGGCAGGCCAGTGTCCTGTGCTGCACTGCTCTTTTTCCTGTGGTTTGGCTTGCTTGCTCCGGTGCTTTTTGACAGAAAGCATGACTAATATTAGCACACTGTAATTTTGAGAGTCTCAGTTACAGTTCTGAGAACCAAAGAACTATCTCAGATCTCTCCCCATTGTGGAGAAAACTCAGAGATAGGATCCCTTTATCTAATTTGAGGCATTGTTTTGAACGTACCCAACAGTTCCATTCATGATGTCCTCTTATGCCTGATGGTTTTTTTCCATTTCTAAAGCAAAATAAGAAAGATCATGCCAAACAAGGTCCTTATGTTGATTGTAAGAACTTCGTCACTTCATTTCTGCATGCAGTCTTTCATGCCACCTGCTGCAGAAATATCACTGATAAGCTGACAGAGCAGTTAGGGGTTTTATACCTAGCTTGTTCTGCAGCAAATTGCATGTTTTGAGCCAGTACCTTCTTTCAGGGGCCTGTGACCTGTGCTGTTGTTTATTCTAGCTAGAATTGCTGATGGGCCTGCTGTGTAGATGGCCAGCGACTTTCCTCTGTCACTTGACTTTTGGGTGCTGCAAACACAAGGTTACAAAGTCTCCATCACAATTCCTGATAGTGGTGCAGTCTGCAATAATTCTGGGAAATGGATGGCTTGCAGAAGGGGACCATAAGGGCAGCCATCAAACATAGAAAAAGAGCGATCTAGTCTGATTCCCACCTCCAGCCAGTTCTGCTCATGTAATCCCCAGCATGTGGCTGTCTGAGCTTTCCTTGAACTGCTCAGCCACTTCCCTTGGAAGCCCATTTCACATCCTAGGGTTCTAACCGTCAGGAGGCACTTTCTCGCATCCTACCTGTAGCCTGGTCCCTTGAGCTTTGCCCCATATGAATGCATCCTGCCCTCCACTTCAGAGAAGAACAGCTCACAACCCTTCTCTACATGACATCCGCTCACATAACTATAAGTTGCTAAAAGATCCCCTCAGAGTCTCCTCCAGGCTGAAAAGACCCAGTTCAATCTTCATATGTCAGCCCTCCCAACCCAGCTACCATTTTTGTGACCCTGCGCTGGACCAATTGTAACCTAGCTATGTCTCCCCTATAATGTGGAACCCAGAACTCGATGCAGTACTCCAGTTGTGAACGCACCAGAGTTGTGTAGAATGGTATTACTGCTTCCCTAGATCTGCAAGCCACACATTTGCCTTCTTAACCAGTGTGTCACACTGCTGGCTCATGTTCGGCCTGCTCTTGCCAAGTATCCCAAGGTCCCTTTCACAGATGCTGCTCTGCAGCCACTTGTCCCCCATCCTGTTCCTGTGACACCTCCTGTGTCCCAAGTGCAAGACCTTGCACTTATCCACATTGAGTGCCATCCTGTTGTGCCCTACCCACTTCCGCAGCCTGTCCAGATCCTTCTGGATGTGGATCACCTTCTACTCAGTTGTGGCCATCACCCCCTCTTTGGTATCATCCATGAATTCAGTCAGCGGGTTATTCCTTCCTCCACATCATTGATAAAAAGGTTGAACAGAAGTGGTTGCAGAACTGAGCCCAGGGGGACTCCCCCCCTCACTGGCTGCCATCCTGATGATTCTCCACTGGTAGTCACCCTCTGCTTGTGGTTTGTCAGCCATGCCCTTATCTATTGGACATGGCATCGGTCTATCGCAAAGCTCAACAATTTCTCAACCAGGGAATCATGTGGCACTTTGTCAAAGGCCATGCTGAAATCCAGGTAAAGCACATCCACCATGTCCCCTCTGTCTAGCCACCTCAAAACCTTGTCGTACAATTCCACAAGGTTAATCTGGCAGGACCTGTTTTTGCAGAAGTCTTGTTGTGTGGCTGCTAACCTCCCTTCCCTATCTACAGTTTCTAGAGCTTTTCCTTTTCTGAGCCTTTTGATAATCTTTCCCAGAATGGATGTAAGGCTAACTGGCCTGTAATTCCCCATATCCCCTCTGCTACCCTTTTTGAAGATTGGGACCACTGACACCACCCTCCAATCCTCTGGAACTTCACCTGTTCTCCACAAGGCCTCAAAAATGGAGGCCCGTAGGCACGAGAGAACCCCTACCAACTCCCAAAGTATTCTTGGGAGGGTCAGGGCCCAGCGCCTTTGTAATGTCCAGTTCCCTGAGGAGCTCCCCGACTTATAGGGGGGTAACTCTAATCTGTGCCCCTAAGATACCTCCCCCAAGATATTCTTTGAATCTGATCTGTCAGGACATAATCCAAGGTCTCAAGCTGACCTGGAGGGCAATAACATACCCCCATTATCAGGTCCCCCCCATCAAAACCCCTTAGTTTCACCCAGACTGCCTCTACCAGATCCCCATCAGTACTGCATTCAAACTCATTGCATCCTATCCCTTTCCTGACATATAAAGCTACGCCCCCGCCCTTCTTTCCCTTCCTGTCCTTTCGAGAAAGGCGATACCCCTCTGGGTTTACATTCCAGTCTTGTCTTTCATCCCACCGAGTTTCTGTGATCCCCACCAGGTCATACCTTCCTATTCCCAGGAGAGTCTCAAGCTCTTCCTGCTTGATTCCCTTGCTCCCAGCATTCATGTACATGCATCTCAGTTCCCTCCCATGAGCTCCTTTCTTTGGGTCCCCCAGCTTCCTTGTTCTTCCCGTCTTCCCTGGTACCGGAACCCTCACTGTAGAAGTTCCACCTGCCCCTGCACTACCTTCAGCGCCCTGGTCCTGAAACCCTGGTCCTCTCCCCTCACTTGTCCAATCAGGACAGGCTTTTAAGAGGCCTGAACCCCACCAGCTCAGTTTACAGCCTTCCAAATGAAGCTTGCTAGAGCATCTCCAAAGGACCGTCTCTCCATCCTCGTGAGGGAAGTGGGTGCTGTGATTGAGGAACCTGAAAAGTTCCTTCTGACACCACACCCTGAGCCAGTTGTTCACCTCACCAACTCTCCTTTCCCTGGCTGGCAAGATAGAGGAAAAGGCCACTTGGACCTTTAGGTCACTGTGTTTCTTGCCCAGAGCCACAAAGTCCCTAGTGATCCTGCCCACCCCCTGCCTGGCCATGTCGTTTGTCCCCATGTGGATCCCCAGAAGCAGCTGGTGACCCCCTGAGTGAAGAAGATGCTCTACTCTGTCACATGCCGGATGCGTGCTCCCAGCGGGCAACAGACCTCCCTTGCCTCAGGGTCAGGGCACCACAGCACCACCTCAGTGCTCCTTAGCAGGGAGTCCTCGACAATGATCACCCAGTGCCATCTCTTCCCAGTGGCAGTAGATGACCGTGCCTTGACCCTTGCATCTCCTGCAGCAACTGGCCCCAGGATGGAGATCCTGGACAGGTTGGTCCCCCAAGTCCTCATCGGCCCCAGCCTCCCCAAGCAGAGAAAGCCTGTTTCCCAGCTCCAGGTTGGCACCAGGAGACGGAGGAGGCCTGGCTGTTTCCCCTTGGCCCTTCCCTCAGCCTTCTGTCCAGAGAGGGGCTGCTTCCGGGGGGATTGCAGAGCGCTGTCGGCCGTCAGACTCCACACCTCCTCCTCTAGGAGGGACACCAGCTTGCACCTGGGGCAAACGCATCCCTGCCTCTCTTGACGCAGAAGGACAAACATGTCACAGGTGTCACAGCAGACAGCAACACCTGTGATTTTCATCATGGCCATTTCCTGCCTTGACATTGGGCCCCCTAGCAGACCCTGCCTTCTTCCCCTGCTTTGTCTGTGCTACACTCTCCTTCCCTGGCTTTGCTCACCTAGTTCTCCCAGACAGTAATAATTACAAGCAGTTATAGAAACAGAGAAACAAAACAGTGACCAGGTGAAGAGAGTCCCTGGGCAGCCCAGGCCCCAGCTAAGGGACGCAGACAAGGGATGATGCCTTGTCACATCGCCCTTAACGTGCCGTTGTTAGCCTTGACCAGGTGATGATCTGACCAAGACAAGACTGCGGGTCCAGAAACCTCTTGTCTTCAAAACCAGTTCTTCAGAGTTGAATATATCATCAAATGCGTGCCCAGTTACTACCCATTGTGTGCCCATTTGAGTCCAGAGACCAGCTGGGGCTGGCGCATGGCTGCCATGGTCAGCCTGAATTCATGGGCACCACCAGACTGTAAATATATTTACAGTTGTACTCTGATAATGGTATTGGGGGTGGCAGAAATATCTGGAGCTCCAGCCAGCAGCCTCTGAAAAGCCTTCCTTCAGCATGCTCCGTTTCTTTTGTGAGGACTGCCTAATAGAAGGGACCAAGCCCTACCCCTCTTAGAAATGCACTGTCTGCATCCGTCTTGTGTCAGGCCTTACAGTGGTGAGAGTAGGGATGGAGCTGGGATCCAGTCTAGCCAGCAGTCTCTAGCACTTCTGGAAGTACACTAGTGATGGGAAAATCCTTCCGAGCTTTTTTGAAACCACTGTGAAGAACCAATAAAAGGAAGCAGACACCAGGTACTCAGTCCTCTGGTCCCCAAATCTCTGGTCTAGAGGAACCCTTTATTCTTTTTCCATAGGTTTCCTTCAGGACCCCCATAGCTCTTCTCCCTCACTCAGCTCAGAGGAGTAGTGTAGCAGACAACCAGTATCCATGGGCGGTCTTCGATGGCAGAAGGAGCCTCCAGGTGGCTTCCAGTAGCGCTCTCCATGAAGAGCCTGGGCAGTGCTCCTGCACCGGCCCCACTGACACTCTGTTTCATAGTGCACCCAGAAACTGTTACAAGGGCTGTGGTTTCCCTGTATGGTTTCTGCCCTGTGGCTTCTGCCCTATGGCATCTTTTCCAGGCTGGACTACTGAGGCAGAACCCTCAGCCTCTGTCCTTGAAATCCCAGTTAAAAGATCCAAAGGGCAGAGTTTTTGCTGCTGTTTTTCTGCACTTGCTTTTGAGCTGGGCATTGGGATAGAATTCTTGAAGCTATAATTCAGGTAAACATGAATTGCTGTGCTGGGCTCTTCACTGGCCGCTCATCCAAGAAAGGTGTAATCTGCTTCCTGCTATTTTCTTTCTTTCATTCTGTGATTTACCCTGTAGTCATTTCTTACTGGCTAGTTAAATTTTTTAATGTGTACAGCCAGAACTTCAAACTAAATTATGCTGGTATTTTAGTCCATAATTGTTTCCCTTGATTTCCACCCTAGTTGCCTTCAATTCTTGCTGACCTCTGGAATGCTGCCCCTGCGAGCTTCTCCAAAATTAATATTGGCCCTCAGAAAGCTTCTTCACCCCACCCTAGGACTTCGTACAAATTAAAAACACGGCTATAGTAGATTTTTCTTTCTTGGGCTACGCATGCCTTCCTCCCGCTCTTCCTGTGTATGCAATACGTGAACATACCTGCAGTACCCATTGAGTTCCCCCAACTTTGCACTTCCAGGTTAAAGATAGATTTTTCCTTTTTGCTAAACACTTCATGTACTTGTATTCATTTGACAGCTTTTAATTTTTTTCCAGAGCAAAACAAAAAGAATGATACCACTGCTCCAGGGCTGTGGGTGGGTCTCTGACAACGCAGGCACAAGCTGATTCTCATAGTGCATAGCTTGATTCTGGTGCAGACTCGCAAAACCAGTTTTCTGTAAACTCGGCCTTAGGGAGAGAACAGAAGTGTTGCATGAGGCACACTGAGGTTCCTTTGTGCAGGTCTTTGCTACTCAGCACAATGTTTGTGCACGAATTGAGAGGTTGCCACTGCCACAGGAGCTTTTCCAAGCTTAGACATGTTTGCTTAGACTTGTGTCCCATTTCATTCCTTAAGTATTATGCCCAAAAAAGTGTGTATAGCACAGTCCTACACAAATGTAGACCGGAAGGGGCCCATGCCTTCTGGTATGCACTAGCCAGCTCTGGAAGTTATAGGCAGTTTTTTTTGTCTAAACTTGCGTAGGATTGCATTTTAAGTCACAAATAAGGATATATATAGAAATATACAGAAGAGAATACATTTTACTAGAGGAACAATCAATATTCTAGGATTTTTGTTTTTAACTGAAGCCTGTAATACAAAACTTTTATTTGTCAGGGAGATCAGGCTATTGTTAAGGGCTGAACCTTCTCTAGACATGGTTGGCTACGAAGTGTGCCTGAACAATTGCCCTTCTTCCCTCTTGATTTCTAGGTCCCACTGCTCTCCTAGCACATGGAATAGGTTTTGGAAGTAGAGTGACAACACATCCTTTGGCCAAAGACAAGATGATGAGTGGAGGTAGGTACAGAGAAGAGCATTTACTGGAGAAAAGGAGACTTCTTTTTGGGGAAACCACATTTTGAGAACAGTTTAATTCACAGTTGCATGTTCCCATAAAAGGTCTCATAACATAGAAACAGAGCAAGTCAAAAGGGGTCTCCCAGACCATCTAGTCTGACCCACGGCTCCAGCCAGCTCTGCTCACGACACGCCCACCATGTACATGTCTAGAGTATCTTTGAACACCCTCACCGATGGGGCCTCAACCACCTCCCAGGGAAGCCCATTCCATAACCTCGGGGTCCTAACTGTCAGGAAGTACTTCCTGGCATCTAAATTGAACCATGGTTCCTTGAGCTTGGTTCTGTTGGAGCGTGTCCTGCCTTCCTCTGCAGGGGAGAACAGGTCTCTACCCACCTCTGTGTGACATCCCCTCACATGCCTGTATGTCACCAACAGATCCCCTCAGAGTCTTCTCCAGGCTCAAGAGACCCAGTTCCCTCAGTCTCACCTCATATGACTTTCCCTGCAATCTGGCCACCTACAATGTGGTCCTATGCTGCACTGACTCCAACCTGGCTATATCCTTTCTGTAATGAGGGGTCCAAAACTGAGCACAATACTCCAGTTGTGGGCGCACCAGAGTCATATAGAGTGCTAGTAATACCTCGCTCGATCTAGAAGCCACACTTCTGCTATGCAACCAGTGGTGGTGTTCACCCTCTTGACCGCTGTGTCGCACCTCAAGATGTAAAGTCTATGTCCTTTTTAAGTCTGTTTAGCACAATCTCAAGAAGAAAATGTTTTGGGATGTTGAAATCAATCCAGCCAATGCCAAAGTGCACACAAAGAAACCCTTTGCTGAACTTGTGTTGCACAAACCTGTTGCTTACCTAGTCTAAAGAAAAATGTGCTTTCGAATGGACTTGACAAGGAGAACACAGTTTTACACAATTTATTGTTACAGAGATGGTCCTGTCCCACATAGAAACAGAGCGAATCATATGGGGCCTCCCAGGCCATCTAGTCTGACCCCCGGCTCCACCTGGCTCCGCTCACAACATGCCCACCATGTGCATGTCCAGCCTGTCTTTGATCACCCTCACCGATGGGGCCTCAACCACCTCTCGTGGAAGCCCATTCCACACCCTCAGGGTCCTAACTGTCAGGAAGTGTTTCCTGGCATCCAAATGGAACCTTGGTTCCCTGAGCTTTGCACCACTGGAGCGCGTCCTGCCTTCCTCTGCAGGGGAGAACAGGTCTCTACCCACCTCCGTGTGACATCCCCTCACATACCTGTATGTTGCCAACATGTTCCCTCTGAGTCTCCTCCAGGCTGAAGAGACCCAGTTCCCCCAGTCTTGCCTCATACCCCATCCCCTGCAAACCGGCCACTAACCTTGTGGCTGCAGTGACTTTAACTTGGCTATATCCTTCCTGTAACGAGGGGCCCAGAACTGAGCACAATACTCCAGTTGCGGGCGCACCAGAGTCTCACAGAGCGGTAGCAACACCTCTCTCGATATAGAAGCCACACCTCCGGCCATGCAGCCAAGGGTGGCGTTTGCCCTCTTGGCCATCGCATCACACCGCTGACTCATGTTTAGCCCGCAGTCAACCAGCACCCCGAGGTCCCTTTCACAAGTGCTACTCTCCAGACACTTTTCCCCTAACCTGTACTTATGACAGCTATTCCTATGCCCCAAGTGCAAGACCTTGCACTTACCCACATTGAACACCATCCTGTTTTCTCTTGCCCATTTCCATAGTCTGTCCAGATCCTTCTGGATCTGGATTACCTGTCCTCAGTTTTGGCCACTGCCCCCATTTTAGCATCATCTGCAAAATTGGTCAGCAGACTGTTCATCCCTTCTTCCATGTTGTTGATGAAAAGTTTAAACGGGATTGGTCCCAGGACAGAACCCTGGGGGACCCTGCTCTTCACCGGCTGCCATCCCGATGATTCCTCACTAATAGTGCCTGAAGAACTATGGACAGAGGTTCGCAACATTGTACAAGAGGTAGCAACTAAAACTATCCCAAAGAAAAAGAAATGCAAGAAAGCAAAATGGCTGTCTGAGGAAGCTTTACAAATAGCTGAGGAAAGAAGGGAATTGAAAGGCAAGGGAGAAAGAGGAAGAGCCTCTTGATGCTGGTGAAGGAGGAGAGCGCAAAAGTTGGCTTGAAACTCAGCATTGACATTAAGAAAACTAAGATCATGGCATCCAGTCCTCTCAAATCGATGGGGAAGAAATGGAGGTAGTGACAGATTTTATTTTCCTGGACTCCAAGATCACCACAGATGGGACTGCAGCCAAGAAATTAAAAGATGCTTGCTCCTGGGGAGGAAAGCTATGGCAAATCTAGACAGCATATTAAAAGCAGAGACCTCACCCTGCCAACAAAAGTGCGTATAGTCAAGGCTATGGTTTTCCCAGTTACAATGTATGGCTGTGAAAGCTGGACCATAAGGAAGGCTGAGCGCCAAAGAACTGAGGCCTTTGAATTGTGCTGGAGGAGACTCCTGCGAGTCCCTTGGACTGCAAGGCAATCAAACCGGTCAGTCCTAGAGGAGATCAACCCTGACTGCTCTTTCGAAGGCCAGATACTGAAGATGAAACTCAAATACTTTGGCCACCTAATGAGAAGGAAGGACTCCCTGGAGAAGAGTCTAATGCTAGGAACAATAGATGGCAAAAGAAGAAGGGGAAGGCAGGGAATGAGGTGGCTGGATGGAGTCACTGAAGCAGTTGGTGTGAGTCCAGGGGATGGTGGAGGATAGGAAGGCCTGGAGGAGTGTTGTTCATGTGGTCGCAATGGGTCGGACACAACTTTGTGACTAACAACAACAACATATTGAAAAATGGGGTACTGTATTGCTGGAGAAAGGTGCAGAAAATGATCAAGCAGCTGAAGAGGAAAGTTCAAACATCTGGACTTGCTCAGTTTGGGAAAAAAGCAAGCACAAGGAGACATGATAGAGATGTAGAAATCATGCATGATGGGGAGAAGGTGGTGAATATCAGATAGCAAAGAGTCATCATGTGATACTGATTAGTGGGGGATTTGGGACACAAAAGCTAGTCCTTCAGATCGCACATACTTAAACTGAAGAATTTGCTCCTTGAAGATGTGGCCATGGTCGCCAGTTTAATGGTGCAAAATGAGATTGGATGAATTCATGGAGGAGGAGGAGATTATCAAGAGTTACTGGTCCTGCTGATGGCTATACATTATCTATGCAGTATTGGAGGCCTGCTTGCTGTGGATCATGGGCAGGAGAGGGCTGCTATGCTCCTGTTTCTGGGCTACCCATTGGGCATCTGGGTGGCTACTATGGGAACAGAATGATTGACTAGCATGCATTCTTAAAATAGCAAAAGTTGCTATTTCTGGAGTCAGGCTGCTTTTCGTCCTTACACAACTGTTGTCATAATTCTGCATAAACCAGAACTGTCCAGAGGGCCTGGATTGTCTGGGAATCAGCTAAATCCAGTGCACATCTTTGCTGAAATCCCACCTCTAGCCTAGAGCAACTTGGTGCTGAGCCCTAAAATGGATCTGCTGGAATGTGTGTGCAGCTGTTGTGCGCTGGAAAGCTTGTTTTACTGGTTAGATACTTCGGTGAGACTTGAAATCATGGGATTTTAATTGGTTGATGGGATTAATGAAAGGGTATTTATCTGATCCTGTTCAGATCTCCGAGAGGGTCAATAGTGATGGACAAGCCTGTTACACATTGACATAGCTGGGGAGGAAGGGAATAGAAATGTATGGCTGCAGTCCTGCCAGCAACAGTTCTCCAGGATTTCAGACATTTTTCAGACATTTTAAGCCGTACCTGAACGGGCTGCAGCCGTTTGCGTGCCACGTAGGTGTTCTTACCACGGAGTTGCAGTTCCTCAATGCCATTTCTTGCATTTTGTATTGACTTGAGAAACTTGTGTATCCCATATCTTGTGTTTTGTTCAGATCATTACAAGTACTCTGAGAATCGTGTGGAAAAGGATGGACACATCCTCACCAGTCGGGGACCGGGCACCAGCTTTGAGTTTGGTCTTGCAATTGTGGAAAACCTGCTGGGGAAAGAGCTAGCTGACCAGGTGAAGGCACCGCTTGTTCTGAAAGATTAAGGCGGCACTCTGCCAAGGAGGCCTTTCCATGAAAGAAATAACAAGAGCAAATATTGCAAGTACACTGAAATCCAAACCCAGAGTAAGTTTGAGATTAGGAGCTTGGACCCAACAGCCACTTAGCAACTTTAGCTCCCCGACCTCAGAGCAACCTCTGTGGATGAGAGATGTGAAACCCTTCCGTTAAAGTCCCCTTAGTGCTTCCTGAGACTTCTTAGTTTTCAATAAAGCAAAACTCCATTGCACAGAGTTGTCTTATGGCCTGTATCAGTTATTAAAATAATGAAAAGGCTGAAAATACAACAAAGATTAAACTACACCATGGTAAAAACATCATGAATACATTAAAACTCCAAAGACAACCAGCAGAATAAAACCAACAAAAATATTACTAAGCTGTCACCTGTGGTAACATGGTAACATGTTAATCCAGATGCCATATAAGAAAGCCAGAGCACGTGGGGCAGTACATGTAGGAAAGGAGGCCTCATGAGAGGTCTAGAGAGACCTAGAGGGCTCTCCCACACTACGCTAAACCGGACAAGTGGAGTGGGGTGGTGTAAGTTGGTTCCTGCAAAGCCGGGGGTTGGACCTGATGGCCTTCATGGCCTCTTCCTGCCAAACTGTTCCATGATTTTATGTCACCAGTTCACAAGCTGTTTAGAATCACAGAGTTGGAAGGGGCCAGAGTACCATCAGGTCCAGTGCCCTGCTCAGTGCAGGATATCTAGACCAGCCTTCTCAGATGGCTATCCTGTTACCTGGTTCATGTAGAACACTAACTCATGGTTCATGTTGTTCAATTCAGAGTTAATTGTGGTGTGTGAACCTGACTCTGCTAACAAACCATGGTTAACTATTGATAATCCCCGTCTCTGCTGGCCACCTCCTGTGCACATACACAGTGGGACGATTTCTCTTCACCTCCCCAACACTCAACAGGCAGTCCCTTCCCCGACACAGGCATTCCTCTTCCCAGGGCAGTAAGGTGAGTTGTGTCCACCCTTAGACCCCTACCTCTGCCCCAGTCTGTAGGGGTTCCTTTCCTGCCCCCCAAGTCTCATTCCCCTCCCTCCATCTCTTCCCCCCCTCCCCGCTCAGTTTCCCCTTTATCCCTCCCACAGCACCCCGTCTCCACCCTTTCATCCAGGTGTTTCTTCTCTGAGGAAAGCACCTGCACACCTGGGCACTCAGAGTTTGGCCTCATGCATGCCTCCCCTGCCCAGCTCCACAGCACCAAAGGTCTTGATGCCCCAGCAGCCTGATTGATTCCCTCTTCACTCCCCAAGGTATGGCCTCCTTGGCTGGCTACCAAGGTAGGAGATGGTGAGCCCTTCACAGTAACACACCTAAAACAAAAACCTAATAGTTAAATAACTGCTAATGCTGTATAAGAGCTAAGAATGTTATGCTACTACAACATACCTCATAATTTAGAAACGCAGAAACAAAGCAAATCAGAAGGGGTATCCTAAGCCATCTAGTCTGACCCCCAGCTCCAGCCAGCTCTGCTCATGTAATCCTAAACATGTGGTTGTTCAATCTTTCCTCGAACTCTTTCACTGGTGGGTCCTCCGCCACCACCCTTGGAAGTCCATTCCATATCCTAGGGATCCTGACCATTAGGAAGGTTATTCAACCTATAACCTGGTTCCTTGAGCTTTGCCCCATTGGGCCACATTCTTTCCTCCACGTTAAGGGAGAACAGTCACAACCTTCTACCATGTGACACCCCTTCACATTCCTCTAAGTTGCTATAAGATCCCCTTGGAGTCTCCTCTTCCCCAGGCTGAAAAGACCCAATTTCCTCCATCTCATCTCATATTTCATCCCCCTGCTTTGACTACCACCCTTGTGACTCTGTGCTGAACTGGTTCTAGCCTAGCTATGCTTCTCCTGTAATGTGGAACCCAGAACTGGACGCAGCACTCCAGCTGTGGGTGCACCAGTCGTGTAGAGCAGTATCAACGCCTCCCTGGATGGGAAGCCATGCCTCTAGTTACGCATCCAAGGGTGTCATTTGTCTTCTTAACTACCACGTCACACTGCTGGCTCATGTTCAGCTTGCTATGGACAAGTACCCCAAGACCCCTTTCACAAGTGTTGCTGCTCTCCAGCCACTTGTCCTCCATTCTGTGCCTGTAGCACATTGAATTTATTAGCCGCGTTGAATGCCATCCTGTTGTCCTCAGCTCACTTCTACAGTCTGTCCAAGTTCTTTTGGATCTGGAACATAGAAACAGAGTGAGTCAGAAGGGGCCTCCCGGGCCATCTAGTCTGAGCACCTGCTCCCAAGTTGTGGCCACTGCACCCACTTTGGCATCATCTGCAAATATTGTCAGCAGACTGGTTGCCCCCTCCTCCAGGTCAGTGAGCAGAATCGGTGCCAGAACTGAGCCCTGGGGGACTCTGCTTGTTTCTGACTGCCATCATGATGATTCCCCATGATAGTCACCCTCTGATTGTGGTCCATCGACCACGTACTCATCCGTTGGCCAGTGCATCAGTCTGTCCCAAAGCTCATCGCTTTCTCAGCCAGGATATCATGTGGTACCTTGTCAAAAGCCCTGCTGAAATCCATGTAAAAAATATCCACCATGCCCCCTCTGTCTAGCCACCTCGAAACCTTGTCATAGAATTTCACAAAGTTCAAATGGTAGGATTTATTTTTATGGAAACCTTATTATGTGGCTGTCAATCCCCTCCCTATCAAGGGTTTCTAGAGCTTTCCTGACCATGACCTTTTCCATCATCTTCCCCAGAAAGGACGTTCGGCTAGCTGGCCTGTAATTTTCTTTGTCTCCTCTGCTACCCTTTTTATGGACTGGGACCACCGACCCTACCCTCCATTCCTCTGGTAGTTCTCTAGATTTCCATGAGGCCTCAAAAATGAAGGCAAACTGATGAGAGAGTACCCCTGCCAATTCCTGAAGTACCCTGAGGTGTACCCTGTCAGGAGTCTAGGCACTTAGGAGATCTGGGGCTCCAAGAAGATCCTCAACTTCTGGAGGAGTAACTCCAGTCTGTGCCCCTATAACCTCAACCTCACCTGCTCCCGCCCAGTAGATCTCTCCCAGCTGCTCTGGGGAGAACACAGAAGCAGAATAATATTTTGCGTCTGTCCCTCTTCCCTTACATCAGTTAGCAGATCCCCTCCTTCCCTTTTCAGTGGCTCCAACTGCCCGTTTCCCCTTCCTCTTACTATTTGCAGAAGAACAGAAGCCCTTTTTTCACTCTTGACATTCTTCCCACATATCAGCTTATAATCACCTTTAGCCTTTGCAAAGAATCCTTTGCATCAAGCCACATCTTTCTGGTTTACACTTTGTCCACTTGCCACAGTCTCCATTTCCTGTGGAAGTCCTTTTTTCTTCTAATCCTTCTTACCACCTCTCTTCTCATCCAGGGGGCACTCTTCTACACCTCCCTGCTTTGCTAATCAGGAATGTTGGTCAGGCTTGTGCCTCCAAGACCTCCCTTTTTAATGCCATCCACCCCTTCCGAACACCCTTGCCTTCCAGGACCCCCTCCGAGGAAACTTCTCCCAGCCTGACCTTCGACAGACCAAAGTTGGCTCTTGTGAAGTTCCATCTCCTAGTACTGGACCTATCACTCATCCCTATTCTGATTTTGTAGCATAGGATGGAGTGGTCACTCCCAGCCTACGCTCCCCTAATCTGCACATCCTCCACCAGATCCTCCCTCTTGGTCAAAACCAAGTCTAGAATGTTTCCCCTCCTTGTTGCCTCTTGGATCGTCTGGGTGAAAAACCCTCCCTCTGTAGTTTCTCGGAAGCAACAGAACCTAGCCACCACCGAGTGCACGTCCCATCAGGGAGGCTGAAATCTCCCATTATAACTGTGTCCCTCCCCTGGGATATCCTTCCAGTCTGGCCTATTGGAACATCATCCAGGGTCTCAAGTTGACCCAGTAGGCGATAACATAGCCCCACTGTCAGGTCCTTTCCCTCGTCTAGACCCATCAGTCTTACCAGATCACCTCTACCTGATTCCCTTCTGCCATGCTCCCTATCCCATTGTACCCTATCCCTTCCTTGACATATAGCACCACAGCACCTCCCCTCTTTCCCTTTCCATCATTCCTAAACAGCATATCGCTCTGTGTTGACATTCCAGTCCTGCTTGTCATCCCACCATGTTTCTGTGATACCCACCAGGTCATACCCACCAGAGAGCCTTGAGCTCTTCCTGCATGTTTCCTGTGCTCCTAGCATTGGTATACACACATCTTGGCATTTCCCTGCAAACCCCCTTTCCCAGCTCCCTCAGCCTCCTCCTTCCTTTCATCATCCCTGGCACAGCAGAAACCCTTTGTGCAGTAATGATGTCATCCCCTGCAGTCCCTGCATCGCCCTGTCCCTGAGACCCTGATCCTGTTTCTTCACCTGACTGACCTCAACTGGCTTCTGAGCATCCTGGTCCTGCCTTCCCTCATATCAATTTACAGCCCTCTGGACAAAGCTCGCTAGACCATGCCCAAAGGTCCTTTTCTGCATCCTGGCGAGGTGCACCCCATCCCTCACCAGCACCTCAAGTCCCTCGATTGCAGTAGTGGAGGAACTCTCAGCGTTCCTTCCAACACCATGCCCTCAGCCAGTCTTTTATCTCTGCCTTGCTCCTCTCCCTGTTCAACCTGTGTCCGCACACCAGCAGCAGCAAGGAAACAGCCACCCAAACCTTCATACCCTTAAGTGTCTTGTCCAAAGCCTTGAAGTTCTGAGTGATCCCACCCAGACCCTGCCTGCCTTTGTCATTTATCCTCACATGGATCACCAGAAGTGGCTGATGACACCCCACCCAAAGAAGCTGCACCAGCCTGTCTGTCATGTTCTGAATGCATGTGCCCAGAAGACGGCGCTTTCCTCTCCTCAACATCCAGCTGCTGCACCGCTACCTCACTACTCCTTTGTAAGGAGTCCCCTGACTTGCTCTTCACTCGGTGGAGAAAGTGGGCCATGTCTCAGCAGTCACCTCTCCAGCAGGAGCCCCCAGGCCATGTCTGACCCCTGGCTGGGCTTCCCAGTTGGTTCCCCTGAGAACTCACGGCCTCCGCCTGCTCAAGCAGAGCAAACCAATTTCTCAGCCTCAGTGCCAGGTGATGGAGGAGGTAGTGCTGATGCTGCCACCTCTGCCTTCTGCAGCTGACATCCCTCCATGCCCGCCCCCCCCCCCCCCCGCTGGTTCCCCAGCGCCTTTTCCATCTTACTGTCTGGAAGGGGGTGTGG